GATATAGTTTATTTTTTTTTAATTTCTTACATGGTTAAGGAAAGAAATGTTTAATGTTTAGAAAGGACTTGGAGTTGGGATTCCTTAAATGGAAGTTGCTTGTTCCTACTAGTTGGGAGGGAAAACAATAGGTGACCCCAGCTTTTATTTTCAACTCTGATATGGATTCACAGTGTTAAGTGAAAGTCACTTAAATGTTGTAAGTCGGAGTTTACTAGTCTATAAAATTAGTATAAAAATTCTCCCCCATCTCGTGAGGGTGTTGTGAGGCTTTGAGATTTGTAAAGCTCTTTGAAACCCTCACATAAAATATGATACTCAAGTACATATTACTGTGGGGGGGATTTTCAACTAGATCACTGTATTTTCAGCAGTTAATTATTCGTATTGTTTTTATGGTTTGCATTGAGCTATCACCCAAAGACCCTAGTCTGGATGGGACTCCCATCATACTAGCAGTACAAACACATAGGAAGAGACTATGTTTGCTCTGAAGAGCATTCAGCATAAGGCTTTGATCCTCCAAACTTCTCTGTGAGGTTGAACCCCAGTACCCAAACGGAGTCACACTGATTTTAGTTGGGCTACACATGGTGTCAGGGGTCTACCCATGCAGAACTATTTGTGAGATCATGGTTCAAGTTTCCACTCCTGCGGTTGGATGTGCATGGACAGACCCTTAGATTGGCTATATGACTGTTAAGTGGGGAACATGACTGTTTACAAACAATATAAACACATAGGATGGAGAGGAAGTATTTAGTATGGCACAGTGGGGTATAAGTGAGAGAAATTAGATAAAATAAAGAAGGAAATATTTTAGGTTGACTATCAGAATATAATCAAGAAAGAGGACAACTTTTTAGTTAAAATACCATCTGGTTTAGTAGTGGAGCAAAAAGGATTAGAAATGAAAAAGCAATATATAACAAAAGGAAAAAGGGGGAAATAGCAATCAATAGAAATTAGAAGTTATGAAGGCAGAAAATTGATAATTGAAGTTAAGCAGCAAAACATCCATGGCAGATAAGGGCTTAGGACAATAAGGAGGTTAAGTATATTAGGAACAAAAGAAATTCTAGCAATTGTATAAGCCCATTAGTAGTTGGAGGTGGTAAAATTATTAATAATGATGCGTAAAAGGCTGAGATGTTCAATAAAGATTTCTGTTCTGTATTTGGAAAGGAGCAGAATGATGTACACCTCTACCTCGATATAACGCTGTCCTCGGGAGCTAAAAAATCTTACCGCGTTATAGGTGAAACCGCGTTATATTGAACTTGATTTGATCCACCGGAGTGCGCAGCCCCGCCCCCCGGAGCACTGCTTTACCACGTTATATCCGAATTTGTGTTATATCAGGTCGCATTATATCGAGGTAGAGGTGTACTTGTATCATATGAGGCTGTGACATTAGTAGCTGAGGAGATGTTAGACAACATCTGCTAGAGATAAACATTTTTCAATCAGCATGTTCAGATAACTTGCACCCAACAGTCCAAAAAGAATTTGCTGAGATTTCTGGTCCTCTGATGTTCATTTTTAATAGATCTTGGGATACTGGGGAAATTCCAGAAGACTGGAGGAGTACTAATGTTGTGCCAATATTAAAAAAGGGCAAGCCAGATGACCCAGGTAACTATAGTCCTGTTAAACTGACAGCATTCCTGGGCAAAATAACGGAAGAGCTGAGATGGGATTCAGTGGATAAAGAATTAAATGATAGGAACAGAGCCGTCCCTTGGGTAGGAAAAATCAGGGCAACTGCTCTGGGTCCCACGGACTGGTGCGATTGGCCGGTGCAGCTGGTCCCAGAAGACATAGGCATGGGAACTAGGGGCTCGGGGGGTGCTGCAACACCACCGGGCTCCCGGCTCTGCATGCCTGGGGTCTCGGCTCTGGTGGGGAGGGGGAGACGGGGTAAGGGGGCTGGCTTTCAGTACCCCCACTATTAAAAATGTTCCAGCGCCATTGCTGGAAGACGAATCCATCACTTCCGCAGGGCCCGCCATCTTGTTGGTAGTTAGCGGAGACAGCGCCCCGCTCAGCTGTCTGCATTTTGGTGCAGTGAATTCCCTGTCTGGAGCCCTGAGGCGCCATGGCACTATTGCTAACAATAGCCCCACGGTAGGTGCCGACAACTGCCAGCAGCAGCAGGTGGCCCAGAACCAGGCTGGATCCATCCCGCCAGCCCAGCCACCGATGCAGTGCAGGGCCCCCAAGCTGGCGGGGGCTGATTTGTCCCTGGACCCGCAACTCCCTAGGGACGGCCCTGGATAGGAATATAATTGATGCCAGGCAACTTGATTTTATGGAAAATAGGTCCTGAGATTATCTTTATTAATCTAATTTTGTAACTGCAAAGTCTACACTTAAACTTTTGTAAGGCATTTTGTTTAGTTCCGCACTACACTGTGATTAAAAAATTAGCATTATACAATATCAATTGAGCACACATTAAACTGACTAACTGATAGATCTCAAAAAGTAATTGTCAATGGGGAATCATCACTGAATGGGTGTAGTCTAGTGGGGGTCCGAAGAGACTGGCAGTAGGCCCAGTGCTATTCAGTGTTTTTCATCAATTATCTGAAAATAAGTATAAAATAACTGCTGATAAAATTTGTGGATGACAAAGATTAGTGGAGTGGTTAATGGTGAGGACAGGGCAGTCATACAGAGCAATTTAGATGGCTTGGTAAGTTTGGGTGCATTGAAACAAAATCTGTTTAAGTACATCCAAATGCAAAGTCATTCATCATGGAACAAGGAATGCAGTTCATACCAGGATGGGGGGACTATATCTTGGAAAGCAGAGACTCTGAAAAGGTTTTATTGTTCTAGGGGACAAGTAACTCAGTGTGAGTTCCAGTGTCATGCTGTTGGTAAAAGGGCTAATGTGATCCTTAGATGTATAAACAGGAGAGTAAGAGTCTAGTTCTGGGTGTCCACATTTTAAAAGGATGTTGAAAAATTGGAGAGTGGTCAGAAAATAGCCTGTGGCAGGGCCTGCTTGCTCCTGCCTCTGCTAAAGTCTACAAACACCTCAAAGACCTTTTTGCTGGCAAAACACCAAGTGCAGTTTATTTACAATATTAGTTTCCACTACCCTTATACCCCATATAGCCTCACCCCTACTGTCCTAGGGAGCCCTCTGCTCCTGAGGCAAGCAGAGAAGAGCAGTCTGTCTCTTTCTGCTTCATCCTCTTCCCACTTCCTTCCAATGCATTTTGTATAATCTGCCTAGTGGCCTAATTAGCAGCTTAGTTTTCCTCAGCCCATCAGTTAGGCCCAGTTCTTTTTAATGAGGTCTGTTCTGGAGTATGTAATTAGAGTTGCAGTGAGCAGAGTCCTGACTCAGTTGCTGTTGCCCAGCCCTCTGTCACAGAGCCCCAAAATGATTTGAGAGCTGGAGAAAATGCCTAACACTGAGAGACTTTAAGAGCTCAATCTGTTTAATTGATCAAAAGAAGATGTGAGAGGTGACTTGATTACAGTGTATATAAACCATCTTTTTCCTCTTATTCTGTTGTCTGGGGTTGGGCTGTTGTATGGGCATCTACCATCTTCAACGGTCTAATAAAGCACTAAAGTCCACCTCCTTATTATCTT